GGACCCGGTTGACATTGAATAGGGATTTGTTGGGCGGAGGAACTGGTTCTATCCTCAGTTTTGCCAAGCAGATCGCTACGTAAACATCCTCAAGATGCAGCCTTCGTGTGCTCAGAGAAGTCCTGTAGATCAGCTCTGCCAGGTCGCCTGAGATGACATATCCAGTTCCTGAGCAAAAAGTAGGGTACACGTGGTTGGGGTACAGCTCCGGCGACATGTACCACTTACTGTCTTTGTTTCTATGTGGGGGCTCACCACGCAGGAGATACCCAGTGAAATACTTTCGTTTTTGCGGAAGGTTTGGATTGAGAAGTTTTTGGATGAGATATTCTGTATTGACAAACATGTCGCTGTCTGTCTTCATGACATAACTGGCCCCAGGGCAGTACGTTGCTATCCAATGCATTCCCATTAGTGTTTTGATGGTAAGGTTGTAATATGTGTCTATGTACTTTTGCTGGATAATGTCATGATGCTGTTGAGACTCTGCCTCTATGGAGCGCTGCAGTTGGCTGGTAAGTCCTTCTGTCATGCCGAAAAGGAAGAGCCGCACAAACCCCAAGCCCTCAGCCACGCTCTCATTCCCCCACGTCTGCCTAATGGCATCCCTGGCTTGAACATTCTGGGGCTCAACGGTAATCAGTAACACTAAGAAGGGATTCTTTTCCTGACACTTGTCTTCTTCATTGATAATGTAGTTGTAGGGTTCTATCGTAGGGATATTACCTGCTCTTACCTCCTCGCTTAAACTGGCATTAGATTCCACAGAGTTCTTCAGCCCTTGCTGGGAGGAGTCTTCCAGAATGGAGCTGAGGTTTCCCTCAGACCTTGGTGGTATGTGAGTTACACCGTACTCCTGGTGGCTCTTCTTTCCTGCCAGCAGGCTGTGTTCGCTGACGATGAGGAACACTCCCACACACAAGAGCAAAACTAGAAGTCCAGCTATGCTTGTACAGCAGTGCCTCCACTTCCACTGCATGTTTCTGTTGCTCGGGTCCTGATGCTCAGATTCGTCCACAGTTGAAGAATGAATCAGTTGTTGCGTCAAGATCTGTAGGCCAAGAAAAGCAGTTTCATTTACAGAGAAACACATGCTGCGTTTTTTAAAAAAAAATGTATATATTTTTTTCTGTTATAAGCTTTCAAACTGAGTGTTTCTACCATTACCCACATAATATGGCATTGCAAGGTTATTAAGTGTGTTTAGACTCTAAATTTGCATAAACAAAACTTGTCAGCTCTAACCGTTTCCCAAAAGTCTTCTTTTTCTTTTCAAGAAGTTACTTTGAAAGCAATTGTAGTACAGCATCTTTGATTTCAACCACATACAGTTGCATCATGCTGCCATGTAAAGTATCATAAGATGAAATAAAGCCCAAGATAAGTGCGTTATAATGAAAGAATGCATCTAAAAAGCTTTGCAACAGCTTGTTAATTTTTTTTGTATATTATTAAAAAATAATATATATTTAGAGGAGGTGAAATGGGTTCAGAGCTTCAGAGTTGTTTAAGTAGAAAATGGAAATTACGTTACTCTAGAAATTGATGTGCAAAGACTGTATCTTCTCTTTGTTTTAAACTTTAAATGAATGAATCAATTCATGTGCTTTTAAAAGACCTGTACAAAATTCTCCTTTTTAATTGTTTGACTTTTACTGTCAACTTTGTGACTTTGTGTCTTGTAATTTATATTTGTCAGTTGGTAGATTCATTCTAAAACTTTAAGCTGGAACTTCTGAATATTCTGATTTTAAAATATTGTAGTGTGTCTTGAATATTCAGAGCAAATACATGGTAGATGTGGCAGTTAGCAAACTGCCTTTTCTTCACAGGTTCTGGTCATTCAGCACCAAATTTGGCTCAAAACCGATATGTATTTTCCAGGCAAAATTTGGGGCAAACAGGCCAAGATTTTAATTGACTTTGCCTGCAGTAAAGTCACTTTTCTGCTTGCGTAACTAGGGCCTGGTTTCAGGAGGCTCTTTTGAAAGCAATATAATACAAATAAACATTTTGTCCACTGGGATCCATTCCTGATTCTGTGGAATGTGGTATTAAACCACAAAATAATGGGCCGCAGTTTTGATTTGTAGACCCAGCTGAAGTGGGGGTTAATCTTTTGTGCTGCACTCAGATTAGAGTAGTTGCTGTTCTCTTAATTTCCTGTAAAGACTGTCTGGGTCAGGTTTGGAAAGCTGGTCTAAGCTGGTTTTGAGAGCGAAAAAGAGAGAGAGAAAGAGAAAACAAAGACACTTGCAGCTTCTCACAGATTTACCACTCTTACAAGCACTTATTTTAACGACATGGAGTAAGAATTTTGAGATATTAAGACTATAAGTGAGCAATATTTCACTTTCACTCTGTAAAGGTGAAATTTTCCTGATGATTATTTTTCCTTTTAATGAGCAACTCTGATGTTTTTTTTTCTTTATTTTTTTGCATTGAGTTTGGATCCTTGCATGCACACGTGTGCCAGAATGAGTGAAACGAAAACTCCTGTGGTTCCAAAACACACTTTGTCATATTCTTTACTTCATAACTTTCAGATTTTATAAGCTTCATTCAAAAGGTGGGTGTCATATGAGAGCTATAACTGTCTTCTTTCCAGTCGAATAGATGGGTAATGTAATTTTAAAAATGTATAATAATAGAAGCTGACCTTTTTTTTTCTATTGAAAGTTGACCCATTTTTCCACTCTGGTGATCTGCTCTGTAAAAATTACTTTTATAAAAAAAATAAAAAGAGCATCTAAGATTTTTGGCTCTTAAGCCATAAATTGTAAGCATATAGCATTATGTTTATGATCATAAAACACATTTTCTGTTAATTTGAGGGGAGCTTTTATTAAAAAAAAAAATTAGTTATTTCATGCAGTTACTGAATGATTTGGGCGTGTAAATTCAGATGGAAAAACTGCAATATACCTACGGGCATAACAGGTTAAAAGCCGTCTGCCTTGCATGTTGCTCCTTGACAGACGGACAGAACAAGGAAACGGATGAGATTTGTTGTACACTATCTGAACTGAGATTCATCCCAAAGAAAAATGAAGGAGCTACTCACACACGTAATCACATAAAAGCAGCACAACAGCATCGAGCTTCAGAATTTACTTTTCATTAACTGAGACAAACTGAGCAACGTCTACAAGCATCAACTTTTCTTTTTTTTTGACTGAGAAAATGTAAAGAACTCTAAAACTTGCGCACCTCTTGTTTCCTTGTTTCATATATGGTCGTTCGCGCGACAGTATATTTACTTTTCAGTATTTGCCTTCAAGTCTTTGCCATGTCTCATTCTTCTCATCCTCCTTATTTCAAACCTAGCAAGCATGACTTCTGTGGATCTCTCTATACCAGTGAGAGTGCTACATATGGAAATACATAGAAGTGACAAGCTTTATAATTAATAACTGTTGATGTGTCAGAAGTTGAGCCCCTGTTTTGTCTTCTGCAGTAATTTCCCATTTATGGCATACACAGTAATTATATACAGTAATAATGTGTTATGTGTTGCTTGGGTAGGATGATTCACACCTAGAGTACTCCTGAGAGGACTACTCCCTCAATTTAAATGTCAAAAAAGACAGACGCCTCACAAAACCAGTACCTCGCTGTCATTCTGGCTGTGTGCATTGTGTAGGTCATAAAGTAGTGGCTTCTACACCCAGAAGTACTTTGAATAGAAAACCATGTATATACATACACTATATGACTCCTTATCTAACGTTTAGAACACTATTTGTGCGCAGAGGCCATAGTTTCATGACGTAGGCATAGGGCTTCTACATCTTAAAAAGTAAAAAATAATAAAAACAATAGTAAAATTAAGCTTTCAAAATTTAATGAATCATGTTGCAGAAACTACAGAAAATACATAAACACAAAACATATTGTAGTGCTTCATTTTTTGACAAAATATGGTTGTTTTCATTTATTTTTCTTTTTTTCTGTAAAACCGATGGATCCTGAGTCTGACTCAGCTTTTTAGGATCCAATCAAATCCCAAAAAATAAAATAATATCCCGCCAACAATTTTTTTTCCACCTGCATAGCCTGGTTTAAGTGTAAATACGTTACATTAAGGAAGAAAAGTGCATTCTGATTTCTGATTCAGGTTGGCTGTAAAGCCCACCAAAATATTGACAAACCAGCCCAAATTCTGTCTACCTTCCCAACCAGTCTGGCAACATCAGCTAACATGGGCCGTGCCCCAAATAAACCCACTTGCACGTATTTTGTATGTCCTTTCTCTCTCTCTTCATCAGTCACTGTGAGGAAATTCAAACAATGTGAGCTCTGCCTTAGTAGGTCATTTAAACTTGCAAAATTTTTCTTGCAAAAAATCACACCTGAAAATTATATTTGAGTATCTCTAACAATGTTGTAATTGTGCTTGTACAAAACTGCAGGTACACACAACACTTAATTTAGCTTTCTTCGATCTGAGGTGAGAAGTTTACAGCCAAAGTATCTAGTGTTGCATAGACAGAGTAAGAGTGCCACAGTAGACAAACTTAATCTCATTGTAAACACAGTGCACTGTTTTAAGAAGACAGATGAGTTACAGAGCACACGGGCAGTTTCTCGTCTCAAGAGAGGTTTTTTTGAATGTCAATCGAGTCTTGGACATTACTATCAACACATGAGTGAATAAAATGCTTTTACTCACACTCACTGTCTAACTAAATAACACAGCAGCTTACTCAAGCTAAAAGAGCTGTTTGTGACGCAAGTGCTGAATATACAAAGAGCTTTTGATTTGGATTATGGTATTGCAAGGCTAATACATTTTTTTGTCTTCTGGTCTGGTAGAGGCACATATGCCGTTTTTAGGATATGAAATGTACCTTTTTTCACAGAGAAAGCTGCAGGATGCTCCTTTCCTTCCCTTTCACTCTGACACATTCTGCTGTTTCTCTGTCTTGTCACAAGTATGCATTCATGCAGGCTGAACCAGCTTCACGTAAGAGTGATTTGATTTAACTCCAAACAGGTCGGTCTTAACACCAAACAGGTCAGTCCTAACACCAAACGAGTCAGGCCCCATTTTGCCTCCGTCTTTAATGTGACCTTACAAACTTCAAAATTAAAAACACACTGGATAAGAGTTTCTGTGGCACGACGAAGACAAAAAGGTTACGATCTGATGAGCCTTTTCCTGACTGAGGCTAAATGATTAATTAAATAATATGAAAACAGCTGTTTGCTTCTGATGAATGCATGATAATAGTAGCAAATATCAGCATCCCTGACATTTATTGCCCTAAAAGTCACAAAGCTCAGACGCTGATGTATAAATAATGAACTTCTTGTACTTCATTTTTATCTGAAAAAAGTGAATCTATGCTGATTATGTTTGTGGATGTAAACGAGTAAAAATCCTGGTAGAACAAGAATTAATTTCAATATTCACACAAATGCCTATTCACTTGACATTTAGACAGTTAATATGAAATCTTAAGAAGAAGGAATGACATTAGACATTAGACCCACTTTTCTCTTTATGTCTCCCTCCATCGTTGGGTATTTTTATATTTTTTATTTGATGTTTTTTATCACCACTGTGATAGAAAAGGTTCTGTGAACACTGATTTAACATTTCTCATACTGTGTTGCACTAAATCGAATTAAACAGGAAACATGCAGTTGGTCGGTGTTTTAGAATTACTGGTGATGTCCAGGATATGCTCAGAAAAGCTTATTGTATTGTTGTGATGTAGTTCATTATAAGAACGATAAAATTGTCATATTGCTCATAATATTGTCATATTAATCTTGTATCACAACTGCAAGCACACCTTTGTGCAATGAATGACTGAAAAACAGTCAGCATTGCCTTAACAGCGTTTTCTACAAGGGCTTTAAAAAAACAATAAATATGTACTTAATTTCTCATAAAGCTCTGGACATGTGTTTTTTAATTGGCCATTAAGTCAAATGATTGTGAGTCCTGTCACTGTTTCAGGAAGTTGTTAAGCAGCTTGTTCCACTTGTTCTTAACATTTTTTTTTTTCGTTCAAAAACTCCAGTTGTTATTGTACCAACTGCCACCACTTCACTCATCACCATGCTCATTGCCAAGGACATCTT